ACAGCAAGCGGCAACTAGGCCTACCCAGGCCTTAGCCGACGGGTGAGCCGTCCCGGATCTCCCCGGCGATCTCCAGCACACCAGCCATACCTGTGGGCACTCACACCCACACCCAAAAGCTCCTTAAAGAGATGATTGACACCAGTCTATGGCGGATACCAATCTATTGCCATACCGGTGCCCGGCCTACACGCCAACGAGGCGGTACGGCCGGCGACGGGTAGCAAGACGGGCAGGCTCGCTGAGGCTGGGTCAAAGTCGAGTTAGTTTAAGTACCCCTGACCCGTGTCGTAACGACGGCGTGCCGTGTTATGGGGCGAAGTGTGACCAACTCACCACAGAGACACACACTCCCCACATGGACACACCCCAAGAGGAAAACACTCACGTGGTGTTGAGCTTGTATGCTACATTATGATTGCAGGACTATGCTGTATGCTATATATATATATATATATATATATATATATATATATATATATATATATATATATATATATATGTTTATATAGTAAATTATATATATATATATATATATATATATATATACATAAATTAACGTATATGAACGTATTTACATATACATTCACACACACACACACACACACACACACACACACACACACACACACACACACATATATATATATATATATATATATATATATATATATATATATATATATATATACACCCAACAACAAAAGTGATGTCGCCTCTCCAGACATGGCACAGAGAGATCATGCCTTTCTTCCCCTGAAAGGAGGCCCACGTTCAAACTGCCAGGACATAGTTCGGATGTAAGGAGGAGGGAAATTATGCAGTCAGGCAAAGAATTGCAATCATGATTGAAATATATATGGAGAGAGAGTGAGGGATCGCTTTTGCTCATGTTGCTTGTTGATTTGATGAATATTTTGGACCTGCCTTAAGAAACGTTATCGTATATCATTTCGAAAATAATTATCATGAAATCTTAACACAGTTTTATTTGAATTCCTATTCATATTCTCTTCATAAAAATTCTTAGACGTTGTTGGAACCGACTTTTCATATTAATATTCGTCAGACGGAAATATCCTTCATTTGCATTATCCCAGAACCGTGTATTAATATATGGCTTTGCATTATCCTAAGCAGCTGCTCTCTCTCTCTCTCACTCTCCTCCGTCTTATATCACCTGGATCCGCTATTTAGATAATAGTAAACTCGATATGTTATTTGGAAAATAGAATAATAGTCATGCCAATATTTCATACGCCATTATATTTTCCAAATTACGATTATTTCACTACCAAAAATAAAGAAATGGACGTGTAAAGGATTGAATAGGATATCGAAAGTAATGGGTTTCTTGAATAGTTTGGAGGAGAAACACCGACGCCGTGTTGGACACAAGCTGTTGGAACGACAAATAAAGGCGTAAGAATAGGTAAGAGTCAAGGCTGAGGGAATCTTCCCCTAGCCTTGGGTAGAGTGAAGCTAGACTCGGCCGTCCGCGGGGTGAGTGAGCAAGCGTGACCGGGGATATTTGTATCTCAAACTTTAAACTGATTTAATATAAATCCTTTTTTATATGTATATGATTGACATGATCAATAAAAAAGACTTTATAAGTATATTATTGTGAGGGGCAGAGACAAGTGACCCATCACACCCAAACTGACCCTAACCAAACCGTGTTATGTGATTCATGAACACGACTGGAGGTCGTGGTTCGTAGACGGTACCCAAACGTAATAAAAAAGGAAACAAGGGAATCGATACCTATACCTTTACACAGCATCACCCTCGAAGTTTTGTGGCCAAAACCATTTGTCAGTGTTTGGTAGTTCAAGAGGCGCTATTTGAGACGATACATTATGCACACCCACAAATATTACACACAGTGTGTGCGTGTGAGAGAGGGGGGGGGAGGCGGGGATGCTATCCTTGATAGGATGGGATTGAAACATAGCAGAACACTCACTCTTGCTTTGCCTAGCGAATTCAGATCCCCCCTCCCCCCCCCTTTCCTATGTCCAGGTTGTTTGAACGTGGGCCACCATTCAGGGCAAGAAGGGCAAGATCTCTGGTGAGGCGACATTGTAGTGATTATCAAAGTTTGCCCACTGTGGGAAGATATTATTTATAATTATTTAGTCACCCGTGCCGAAGGAGCGGGCCGAGCGGTAAGCACTCTCCGAAGGCACGGTGGGTCTGGGATAAATACTGCCGTCTTTAATATTCATAGTACGCAAGCATCCCTAGTGTTACTTTAAGTCCACAACGGGGTTTCACAATAAACCGTTAACACTTCCCGTGTGGAAAAGAGGAGCCTGGGCACAACTTGCTAAACTAAGAATATAATAAAAGAAAATTAAACAAATACATATAAGCTAATATTTAATATAGTAACGTGGACGAAATGCATAAAAGAAAAAAATATAACAGAACCTGCATATACTGCTGGTGTACACATTATCTTACAATAAGAAGCCTCGATCCTCCGTTCATCACCGTGCACACAATGGTAAATCCAGAAAAAGAAATGCAGCTCGACTACGGCCTCTCTCTATATACTTGGAACAAAGGCTACTCTAGACATGCAGTCTTCCGTAAGGATCTCTGGCTTACTGCTAGAATAGCCTTAAACAAGTTAATTAGCCCGTGGATTGGGAGAGAGAGTACCTGTAGCCAGGGCTGTGCGACCGTGACTCCCCGTGTCATCTCCCACACCTCCTTCAGTGCTTTGGAGGCGGGAACCAGCAGTTAGGGCTTTCCAGCGGTGGATGTGTTTTCAATATTTAAGTAAAACTAATCATTTTTCCAGGGATTAAGGACTGCAGTACTAAACATAAAAACAATGCCAAGTAAATATAAGTATATTATTGTATATATGGATAAATCTCGTTTCAACGTCCACGGAGGTTATCCCGGTGGTTCCCCACGGTGGTGGTCCCTGGTGGTCAAGGGTAGAGACTCCAGGCGTCCAGCCTTGCCACGAATAGCTTGGGACCCCCTTGATGACACCTCGTTTTCTTCGAGTTCCACTACAGCATCGCTTTTGTTGTTGGGTGTACATATATATATATATATTCATACATTATATATATATATATATATATATATATATATATATTATATATATATATATATATATATATTATATATATAATATATATATATATATATATATTAATATATATATATATATATATATATATATAATATATATATATATATATATAATATATATATATATAATATATATATATGTATGCATGTATAATATATATGTGTGTGTGTGTGTGTGCGCGCGCACGAGCATTTGTGTGTGTGTGCTTGTGCGTGTGCGCCAGTGTTTGTGTCTGTGTGATAGAGCTTTTTGTTAAACCTCGTTTTCGAAGACTTGCAGTACCCTGATCTGCATCCGGCCGGCGAGCTCTCGAAGGGCCCGCGTGGTCCAAGCGTAGCCTTTGGTTACCGAGCGTTCCTCAGTATCCGAATTGGGTCTGCACTTTGGTTATTGTAATTTGAGACATGACCTTCGAATAGTACCATTCCTATCCATAAATATGTTGCCAAATACTGACGGCAAACTTTGTTTATAACTTTTCCCAGGAATTTACACGATTCTTACAGTTTCGAAAGTAAATTTGGTACCAGGAAGGATATGGCAATACAAAGGTATAATAGTATGATTTATTTTTTCTTTATACAATCCGGCGTTCTTTCAGCTTCCCTGAGAATGCTAAGCTCCTCACATAATTTTCATACTGATTCGGTCTAATAATAGATACATAGTCTAAGAGCATTTACAATCGTTATCTTCATTTTTTCCTAGAAAAATACAGCTATTGCATTTCATAGATTATTGGGCATTTGCCCAGAAAAAAAAAAAAAAAAAAAAAAAAAAAAAAAAAAAAAAAAATATATATATATATATATATATATATATATATATATATATATATATATATATATATATATGTGTGTGTGTGTGTGTGTGTGTGTGTGTGTGTGTGTGTGTGTCGCATTCACTTAAAATAATGTTAAAAGAGGTTGTAATGGGTATCCATTTCTCTGTCGATTCACTTAAAACTCAATGTATTTATGTATGGCCTCACACTTTACACATATTTGGTACTGCCTATAATGCTGTAAACGTGAAAATACAGCATAATTTATTCCACTACACTAAATGATTGAAGATATATGACTGTACTAGAAAGCAGTTTGATTTTTTTTTTTTGGGGGGGGGCAATGAAGAAGACCTCTTTACTGAGAACTCTTATCACGTGCTTGTTCACTGAAATTTTTCGATATGCGCTTTGATTACTCATTCTAAATAGACACGAAAGAAGTACACTTTATATCTGAATTACTATGAAATGAAAGCGAGTTCGACATTATTAAATTTGGAATATAGGTTCACAAGTTGTTGCTTTTCTCTAGAATATGAGACCAGTTCCATTCTTCAAAGGTAACAATTATTGCCTTAGCTTTGCTCGATGCAGGATCAGTCTCTTATTAAACTGTTTTTTCTCCACACTCTTACTGTACACACACACACACACACACACACACACACACACACACACACACACACACACACACACACTCACATAAAAAAATCATAGACAAGCAATTTTGAGACCTTTAAAAGGAAGCCACATGGCCAAAGTAACGCAGTAGCCGTGTTCGTCGAGCGATCCTTCTGGATGCAGAAGGATCGTCCTGACTCTGACCCGGCATGCTGACAAGGGCGAACTGGGCTCGAACTTGCGATGGTAAAAGCAGCACTGTGCCTCTGAGCTATGCCATCTTCGAGACCTCCTTTGGGCAAGACTAAAAGGATGTATCTAAAGAACTCAAATTCAAAAAATCTTAGAAATAAATATACTATACTACTATGACGTGTCATCCAAAATTAAGTGGTGTTTTTTAAATTACACATTACTTAAGGGTACATGGAAAGTATAAACATAGTAAAATATCAATGTACTTCAGCTGTTCTATTTTTTTTTTTCTTCCTCTTTATTATTATTATCATTTTTCTTTCTTGGTTAAACAGATTTTACTCAGAAGGACTCCTCGTCTTTCAATATTCAGAAAGGTACCTTATACAAAAGCAAAATGAAGAAATGCTTTTGTTGCAATAGTGTTATCAAAGAAACACTTATCAAGGAATCACAACTGTATTTTGAAGACATTAAGTATAATCACTGTACATCTGACAAGGTTGCATGTTTTTACGTTTGGGTGCTTATGAATTGATGAAAATATAATCCAACTCGCAAGACATCTCAATATCAATATGCTGTATATCCTGGCACAGATGTTGTAAATTGTCTGCAGCACACAGCACATTATTTTGAAGACGCCTTTGGGACCTTGTGCACATGATATAGGTGCATATATACATTGATGTATTACTAAAATGTAATATATATCTGGATATACTCCTGAATAATATTTGCCTTCACATACAAATATTTTGTAAGTTTAAGGAAAAAATTACAGCGTGAAATAGCCCTTCACCGTAGAGAGAATCGACGACTTGTGATGTTCATCCTCGTAACACCTATTTCTCGAAGCACAGGTGAAAACGCCTCTCTAGGGGTCAGAGAATAAAAGCAATTACATTTAATGTACGCAGAGTACAAATAATAGCCCAACCTAATAGTATATTAGGTTGGGCTATTATACATAGAGAAAGTAACTGTAGTCCCCATAAATTGAAGAAACCTAAGACTTCCCTACCAAACCACCAAAAGCTCAGATCTCGTTATATTGCTCCCACCACTACGAATTGTGAAATGTACTGGTGCTGGTTGCTAAATGACAGCAAACAAGGATTTTTTCCTTTATTCACAATGCTTCCCGTCCACACTCTAGAATGCAACACCCAGCAAGAAAAAAAACAACAGGAAATCAGTCATTATAACCATATTTCAAAAATCATACCACGACCCAAATCGCTGAAGTAATTTCCCTTACTGGCATATTCTTGAATTGTTTAAATATGTTTGATATTGATTTTTTCTTCATCGTACACACGAATATCCTTCACCAAGATTTATGCTCCCTCTGTTAACACACGATCAATTTAGGACATAGAGTGGTATCCACGAATGTCCTCAGACAATTCTAAGAATAAAAGTTGACAAGAGTATGAGCCGGAAAATTCTTACCAAATTTTGTCTTGGACGTTTTCTGGGCATATTCCCAATCAGGGCCGAATGCTCGAAAGACACTCAAACTTAAGCGCGCTGGAGGCCTCATCTGTTCTACGGTGACCTAGGTCGGATTGAAGCTTCGTACACACAAACGCTTTTTCCGGCGCTGTATCCCCGCCTTAAAACCCGTTTTGCTGCAAATCACTTACGGCATCGGATCTGCTGTTTCTTTGGCTCTTCGGGAATCTTGACTAATTATAAGCCGCAAAAGTTAATCGCCTGAGACTGTAAGCTCTGCGCATGGGCCGTGGGAGCACTCGGCCGTAAGCTTCGGCGCCGTAAAGTGTTTGAGTGTCTGGCGCCAGGTTATCTCAGATAGGCGTTGTGTCGCACATAAATATATCAGTAAAAAGATGTCAAACAGATACTTTTATATTACTCAAATTGTTGTATATATGGTACACACTCATATTAATGCATAAATGAACACGTTCATTATTAATAAAACCTGACCAAACAAATAATTTAAATGAACATTTGCCAACAATGGTAGTCGTTTGTTGACATCGTTCATTTGCGCTCATCAGTTCATATAATATTCATAAATACCTTTCATTGTATGTAAATATGGGTTTTCATTGGATGAATAACCAATGGCAATGTGCTGGTGTGGCACATACAAATGCATGATAACATGACGATCACTGAAAATGTGATGACATTTGCTGAAGCACCGAGGCTGTGAAATCGCTTTCTGCGGAACTAAATAAATAACTTCAAAGTAATATTTTTTTTTCTTAAAAAAAACAAAAAAACAATCTGCATGAGTTTAGCCCATTAGGCCTAATTACAGAATAAATAGGAATGGAGTGGCCTCCGCTAAAGCGTAGAGGCCAAGGTAACACGCGTGGGTCAACTGTAAAATTTTCACTCGTCAAGGTAGCCATAAATCACAGGGCAAATCATGAAATTCAGAGCTTAAAAACTTTGATTTTTGTTAACATGTTTATCTCCCTCTCTCTCTCTCTTTAATAACGATCAACAAATTGTACAAGCAAACTATTAAATCCTGGTACAAGATTTTATACGTTATGGTTGAGTCTTTTATGGATGAGTAAAAAAGACAATTTGCTGATTTCGTGTAACAAATTTGTTTTACTTCAGCTTAAGCTGTTATGAAATGGTAATGAATGCAAGTCCTTTGTGTTCTAGTCGATGTATTTTTTTAAAGAAAAATTATTAATGTATACAATTAGGGTTCATTTCACATGTAACATTGATAAAGCAAAATTCAAATTATTTGCAATTTTGCATTACATTCAGTATAAGATTATTATAGAAGGTAAAGCTAATAATTTAAATGTTTTAAAAATATTAACTGATCTTTTGTAAATTTATGACATTTTGAGAGCATCCTCGGCAGCTGAAAATATTTTGAGACAGTCTCAAGGGAACCCGAGTCATCTTCGTTCAAACGATATTGCCTTTTGAGAAACCACTCTCTTTGGAAAGAAGTTAAACCTCAGTATCTCATATTACGAATATCACTGATATACACAGATAATGAGATTATATACAGCAATATATATATATATATATATATATATATATATAATATATATATATATATATATATATATATATATAGAGAGAGAGAGAGAGAGAGAGAGAGAGAGAGAGAGAGAGAGAGAGAAGAGAGAGAGAGAGAGAGAGAGAGAGAGAGAGAGAGATATTTAGTTTATGCAAAAATGTTTCTGTTGAAGAAATTTTATACACATCCTTATACGTATGATACCTGTAATCTGAGCACCTTTAGGTGCCTATAGAGCGATTTGATCAACAATAAACCCATCACGGTTACTTTTATTTCATCCTTGCATGCACTGCCCGCTTATCCATTGGCATGACACCCACGGACACCCCAACAGCTCCAGTCTTCACACCATGTATCAGATATTTATCTTATTTCTAGGCTTTAGTATTTGAGAAACACTTAGAGAGCAACAACGATCGTTAACAATAATTGTTTTGTTGTGGAAATACAGCTAATAAATTATATTCATATTTTTCACCAAATACTTTTTTTCTAGTACATCCAATAACTAATGCGTTTAAATACCTGAGGTCTTGAGGCATATCACAGAGATCCGAAGATTCAAACGTTCTGGCTTCCTCTGCTTCATTCCTGACCTCGTCTACAAGTGCTTGGTGATTATTACATGAACGCAGAAGCCGAACTCTCTGTAATT